AAACTTCATTTTCATTTGATTTGTGTAAATCTGTGATTTGACTGAGATTACAAGTACATGGTTTCAGAAATTGTCTTTAGAGATTATTGCCACTGTGCATATGTAATTAAGTGTACCCGTTATTGTCTATTATAAAAAAGCTGTAAAACAAAACAAAACAGAAAACCTGGGCTTCCCACGTGACCTCAGCCTCTCAAAGAGCAGCCTTAGCCAGTATATATTACCATGGCTGGGACACATGGTTTTTTTCAGCCAGGCTTTATGTCATTTTTTTTCTTAATGATTTATTTTGAATTTTATGTATTCATTTATTTATTTTAATTTGACCAAAGAGAAACAGAGAGAGGGAGAGAAAGTGAGAAAACAAGCCACCAGACCTGGGACTTGAACCATGGTTGGCCATGTGGGACTTTCCAGCGCCTTAACCACCACACCACCAGCTGGTCCCTTATGCCATTTTTATTTTCTTTTGACAAAGCTTGAACATAAAGAGTTGAAAGGATAGTATTGTGAAAATTCATACCTTTCACCTAGATTTACCAATTATTATGATTTTTATGTGTTTTTTTCTGTGTCTCTTTTTCCCCTTCCTTCCTTCCTTTCTTTCTCCCTTTCTTTTTCTGATTTTCAAGCCACCGTGTCTAAGACTTGAACAGCTCTTGGCCACATAGGATCCCAGTGCCTTAACTACCATGCCACCTGCTGGCCATTTTTTTTCTTCCTATTTTGAAAATAAGTCAAAGACATGAATGATATACTTCACTACTGCTTGGAACATAGTGCCAAAGAAAGTAGTACTCTCCTATAAAACCAATTATCATATCCAAGAAATTATCATATCCAAGAAATTCCATGGCTATAATAACACCTGGTACAGTAGAATACATACTTCTATTTCATCTGTCCCAGTGTCCTTTATTGTTTTCAATTCTGAGTCCAGCGAGATCAGTCACTGCATTTAGTCATTGATTTTTTTTTTCTAATAATTATTTATTTAATTTTATTTATTCATTCATTCATTTTAATTTGACCAGAGAGAGATACACAGAGAGGGAAAGTGAGAAAGCAAGCCACCAGGTCCGGTACTTGAACTGCTGTCAGCCATGTGGGAGTGTCCAGCTCCTTAACCACCATGCCACCTGCTGGTCCCTAGTCATTGATTTTTAACAGGTTCTCTAGTTGTTCTCATTTTTCCTGTCACATGGATATTTTTGAAGTTTCCAGGCCATATTTTTTTTAAAGAATAATTTTATTCATCATTACTATTTTTTTTGTTTGATTTTAATTTGACTAGAGGGAAACAGAGAGGGGGAAAGTGAGAAAGCAAGCTATCAGGTCTGGGAATTGAACCGTGGTTAGCCATGTGGGAGACCAGCACCCTAACTATCATGCCACCTCTGAGCCCTAGGCCAGCTTTTTTTTTTTTTTTTTTTTTTTTTTTGATATAGGGTACGTGCATGTGTGCGCTTGCCAGAGATAGTCAGAAAGCAAGAAATCACCTCCCAAGGAGGATGGCCATGCCACAGTTCCTTCTCTATCCTTCTCTTGGGATTTGGGGCACACGTGCCTGGCATGAGTCTAAAGTCTCTCGAACTATCGTCGGCCTTGTGAATGTCCAGTGCCTTAACCACTGCGCCACCTGCTGGCCCCAACAGGTCGGTTGTTTTATAGACTAGCCTAACAGTTTGGACTTGTTTGATTTTCTTCATGATGGATTCAGGTTAAACATTTAAAGTTTGGTAAAAGTAAAACCCAGGCGATACGTATTTGCTACTTTTTTTAAAAAAAAAGAATTATTTAATTTTATTTATTACTGTGTTTTTAAAATAATTATTATCATTATTTTTCAGTTTTTACCAGAGAGAGAGTGGGAGAGAGCAAGCTGCCAGCTCCAGGACTCAAACTGTGGTTGGCCATGTGGAAACCCAGTGCCTTTAACCACCATGCCACCTGCTGGTCCTATTATTATTATTATTATTATTATTATTTAATTTGACCAGAGAGAGAGGCGGGGGTGTGTGTAAAGCCACCAGGTCCAGGACTTGAATCACAATCGGCCATGTGGGAGTCCAGCGTGTTCGACACGCCACCTGCCGGCCCCTATTTCAGTTACCTTTTAAGAGTAGGATGATTCGGGTCCAATATTATGTGGACCCAAACCGGTACATGATGAAGAAAGTTAAGTTGGCATATTTGGCAGATGGGACTCCTAATTATATAAAGCTGGCCTTGGCCAAGTGATGAAAAAAAATCATTAGGACAGGAGGATCGTTCTGATTTTACTGTATTTGCATGTATTTTACTGATCTATGGCTAGATCTAAAAGTTAATGTTTAAGGAGCTATTGGAAAAGCAAAGACTGAAAGGTAATGAGAGTTGTTAAGTAGTTTCAGGGTAAAGTTTAAGTAGCTTTTGTGGACCTAAGTAACTGAAGTTTAATACACACACACACACACACGATTTTTTTTTTTTTTGGAGAGGTTTTATGCTATAGGGCGCGTGAGCTCGCCAGACAAACAGAGAGCCAGAAAGCAAGAAATCACCCCCCAGGGGGATGGCCACGCCGCAGTCCCTTCTCCTCTGTTCTCCTCTCAGGATCTTGGGCACGCACGCACCCGGCGTGAGTTTTAAGCCACCAGGTCCGGGATGCGAACCGCAGTCGACTACATGGGAGTCCAGCGACATAGCCATTACGCTAACTGCTGGTCCCCACACATGATTTTTTTAAATTGGAAGGCAGTTAAACACAGTTTATTCCAGTAGGTTGATTAGAAGGTCCCAAGGAGGGCAGGAAAATAGTCAAGATTCTCAGCGTGAGAGTCTTAAGACCTTCTGTGTCTTTTTTGCAATGTTATGCAACTTATGGTTTACTGCCGTGTGGGTTTACTCCCCTTTCCATTGCTCAGGTTATAGAGGATGTGACCGAAACTGTTAACAAGTACCTGGAGGTTTTTTAAAGGTGATAGTTGCTCCTGTGCCCCCTAACCAGTTAGTGTCAAGATAGAAGTCTAGAAAAGAAGTTGGACCAGTTACTTAAATTCTTTTCTTCTCTTTTCTCACTTTGGCAGATGCTGAGGGTTGGAAAAGCAAAAGCAGATGCGTGGCCCAAAACTACTCCAAAGAAAGGTGAGGATGGCCTTCTGGGAAAGGGGGAGTTTAGACTCTCAGTAAAAGGCTCTAGAGTTGTTTCCAGAATTGTAACACCGATATTTTTTAGATGAGAACAACTTAGTTCCTCCTGCCCCTGTGGACAGTGATGGGGAGAGTGATAACTCAGACCGTGTTCCTGTGCCCAGTTTCCAAAATTCCTTCAGCCAAGCTATTGAAGCAGCCTTCATGAAACTGGACACACCAGCCACTTCAGATCCCCTCTCTGGTAAGTAAGGGCAGAGAGCTGGAGTGTGCAGCACAGGGTCACCAGGCGTACACATGCACAGCCATTCTCACATTGATCCAGTGGCTGACATCACTATTTGGTCAGGCCCTTTTCCCTCTGAGGTTTGAGGCCTTGGCCTTCAGCATGTCCTAGCATCAGCTAATGTCCTACTTGGTACTCAGATAGGACCTTTTTGCCACCCCAGATTAATTGTTGAGACTCAGAGGTGAAAAGGAATTTTTCCTGGGACCAGCAGTTAGTGTAATGGCTATGTCGCTGGACTCTCAGACGTAGTCAACTGTGGTTCGCGTCCCGGACCCGGTGGCTTAAAACTCATGCCGGGCACATGTGCGTACATGCCCAAGATCCCAGGAGAAGAGAGGAGAAGGGCTTACGGTGTGGCCATCCCCCCTGGGGGATGATTTCTCGCTTTCTGTCTCTGTTTGTCTCTGTCTGTCTGGCGAGCACATGCCCCCTATAGCAAAAACCTCCCCCCCCCCAAAAAAAAAGGAATTTTTCCTTTTTTCTCTTCTAAGACACAGTGAAGAGATCTTGTCTACACTTCTGAATCCAGAGTTAGTAAAAGAGAGGGTGGCTAATAAATGGAAAAGTCAGGCTTAGTCCACCTGCACTACGTGGTGTCCTTGATTAGCCAAGACTAACACATTTATGGTGTGCTTTCTGTGTACCTAGCATTGTGCTAGTTTTCCCACAGCCATATTAATGGGCACAACTCTCCGTTACAGGTGAGGTAAAGTGTCTCATGCCAAGACAAACACACAGTGTCTGCTAGGACTAGTGTTTGAATCGAGGCAGTCTCATTCCAGAGCCTATACTCTTAGCTCTCTCTGTCTCTCAGTAATGAAAACTGGCCAGGCAACAAGGGGATGGCCTTCTAAGCAAGTTCTTTTTCTGTTTCCCTTTAGAAGATAAAGGAGGAAAGAAAAGGAAGAAACAGAAACAGAAGCTGCTGTTCAGCACCTCAGTCGTCCACACCAAGTGACACTACTGGCCCAGGCTACTTTCTCCATCTGTTTTTCTTTTTTCTGTGCTTTTGTTTTGCTGCTGTAATTTTTAAGTATTTGAGTTTGAACACATTAGCTCTGGGGGTGGGTTGGGGTGGGGGTTTCCACAACGTGAGGGGGAACCAAGAAAATTTTAAATACAGTGTATTTTCCAGCTTCCCGTCTTTACACCAAAATAAAGTATTCACACTCACAAGAGATCTCTTCCTGCCAAGATTTTGAGTTTGTTGCCAGGTTAGTCTTTTTGACCCTTGTGTCATTAATTTTTTTTTTAACCTAAATAAGTTTGAGTCCCTTTTATGGTCCGAGTCTGGGGTTTCTTGGTATCAGTACATCTACCAGTTTGGCTTTGAAAAGTAGTGGAATTTTTCCCCTTTCCTGTTCAGTTCTCTTGTTAAAGAGAGGGATGGGCATGAAATGGATTTAGGACAGCTGGCTCATTGTTGTTCATCTGACAGGGCCAAGCTGTAGGTGCCAGACGTGGCTTGCCAGTGGGACCAGGTAGGTTGTGCTTGGTGCTTGCATATGTGAGCAGGGCTTTGCCTCTTGGATATAGTTTTGTTTGGTAAGGAAAGCTGCAGCTGTCACTTAGGAAGCCCTGGGACTGTCATCCTCAGATAAGCTTGTTTTAAGTGATAAGCTGAGTTTCAGCAACAGAGGCATCTGGCACACCTGCAGGAGACAGGGCAGTTTGCTTCAAAGCAGTAGAATTACCCAGTGTCTCCTAGAGCAGTTTTCTTCTGCCTTGGTTTGAGCTGAATTTGAGTAATGTACATTTTTTGCCGCATAATAAAGTGACCTCTAGGTGTAATAGAATATGAAGGAAATAGTTGCAATAAATCACCTGCACAAGCAATATGAGCTTTTTGGTTTTCTTAAATTTATCACAGGTCAGCTATGACACTTTCCTTTTATTCATCATAGATCATGTTCACACATGAGAGAGAGAGACTTTCCAGAGTCTGATCACACCATATGCCCTCACTCCATTCCTCCAGCCCATCAGATCCTAGGCATTCATGGGCATTCCTTTTTTTCATTCCTGGCATCTTTCAGGCTGACCAGGCCTGCAGTTTGAATCATGGAGTTCAATTTCCTTTGAGCGGTGTTTTACAATTGTACCCTGGCCTCAGAAACTTCCTAAATGCTCTAAGCTCAAAGTAACAGCTACGAGCAGTTCTGCTATCAGGGACCAGTACCTTTTCTGGTGTTAGCCCTAAAGGGTTCTTGAGCTGGGCCAAGCATTGTATGTATGTATGTATGTTGCCTCAGGGCACACACGCTTTGGATGGGGAGGGAAGTCAAGTAAACACCCCACACACACACACACACACACACAGGCTGTCTCTTCTCCATTTCTGCATCTTGTTGGGATTTGGGGCATGCATGCCCAGCATTGTCTTTCCAGTCACCAGTTCAGGGACTCAAACCATGTAGTCAGCCTTGTGGGATCCAGTTGCTTTAACCACCAGGCCACAGGCTGGCCCAAGCTAGGCTTACCTTTTATTATGGAAAAACAGATTCTAGAAATACCAGGAAGTCTGACCACAAGTTTCTTGACCTTTCAAATTCTTCTGAATGTAAGTAGTTTTATCTGTGCCCTGTATAGAGTAATAGGGAAGAGTAGAACTACAGAAAACTACAAACTGTCAGCTGCCACATGACTGAGATCCGGTGAGGACAAACCTACCCCGGCCCCCCAGAAAAGTGTAAAAGCTACATCTTTTAGGCAAGTCACCAATCTGGTATTTGTATAAAGCCCTGTGGAACAGTATTGACTTACTACAGACTTGAGCCTGGTTGCTGTGTCTCACTAATATTTTCATTCCAAATGACTCGGTTTACTCAGGGCTCATCCTGGGGGCTGGGAGTATAAAGCCTCAAGAGGAAGGGTAAGATTCAAAATTAACCTAATACCACATAGGGAGTTTGTCTTTCTGATAGAGGGAAGAGACATGGCCACACATGAACTTATTAAGCCATTTTGTAAAGTAAGTATGCTAAATGCCATAAACGCCAAATACATTAAGCTTCCTCAGTCAAACAATTAAGATACAAAGATACCTAGAACCATAGAACGTTCACACCCTGCAGAAGTACTACATCAGGTAAAGGTACTCAGTTTGTTTTAAGTGAGTCAGTCCAATTTACGCAGCAACTTCTCCATCGGGGTTGGAGGACTGTAGATGCTGCTGCCTCCCAGAACATCCTGTTTCAATGTGCGGGCCGAGGCTTGGACACTGGGTAGCCTGCTGTGTGGTAAGCAGTTCACTCCATCACTTCAGCAGCCTCCTCACCTCCATCTGAAAGCTCTTCCTCAACTGACGACTCCTCTAGTAAACAGCTCCTTGTGACAGACTTCTGGATAGCTTCCCGCTCTCCTAGAGAAAGGCAGGCAGAGCGGGGAAAGGTGTTTTTAGGAGTGATCTCTTACTCAGCAGATCAGTCATTGCTCAGTGGGTACTGACAGTGTTCTCACCTTCATCGGTGCAGTTCTGCAGCAAGATCAACAGCTGTCTCCTGTTGTACTGAATCAGGAACTTCTGACATGTTCTAATTGTACCTGCCACATAAGAGTTTGGTGATTAATGACTTGTGGAAGGTCTGTGCCTTTGACTTTCAGAGCTAGGGGAGAGTATCTTATTCTCAACAGGACAGCAGGAAGACCCACTCATGTCAAGATCGAATTATGAGGGCTGCCTGTAGCATAACACCATCCAGTTCAAGTCTTGCCCTACTGGCTTGAAAAACATGCCAGGTGTGTGTGTGCACATGCTCATAATCCTGATCCGTATGAGGAAATGGAAGAAAAAAAAGATCACATCCCTTTGGGGGGTACTCTGTCTCATTCTGGCAAACACACCCTCGGGCAATAAAAAGACTGAACCTTTCAGCTACTGAAAACCAACAGCCATGCCACATGCCACTCCTACCTCCCACATGTAACGTGTTGAAGAAACAAGGGTAGCGATGTCCTTTGTTCTCCAAGCCTGATAGAATTCCTTTCTGCATCGAAGTAGCACTATGCCAGTATAGGCATTGAGGTATCGAACTGTAGCAGAGCGGACCACAAGAGCTGATAGAATTCCTTTCTGCATCGAAGTAGCACTATGCCAGTATAGGCATTGAGGTATCGAACTGTAGCAGGAAACAAAAATCATTCTGGAGTACTTTAGGTTCACAGGAGCACGTTAAAAACCTTAAGAAAATAGAGAGCCAGGGACTTGTCCTAGGCAGGGGGCACTTTGAATCCATCAGTAAATAAAATCAAAAGGTTCTTAAAGGGGAAAACAAAACAATACTAAGATAGACCTTCATTTATGGAAGGGGGATAGCAACATAGGGCCTTGCACACCACTCAGAGCTGGTGAATGAATCTGGAATTTAAAATGCTCTTCTGAGGCCAGCAGGTGGTGTGATGTTAAAGTGCTGGATTCCCATATGGTAGACCATGGTTCAAGTCCTGGACCTGGGCTGAAACTCAGGCCAGCTGCGTACGTGTGCATGCCCAAAATCCCGAGAAGAGAAGGAATTATGGTGTGGTTACTCACCAGTGAACGCACATGGACAAAGCCAAAACCTAAAAAAAGAAAGTGCTCTAATTCACTGACTGGTTAAATCAGTGGATGGAAACAGGTCTGTCTTCACTGGGCCAAAAATCTTTTCCTTGGGGCCAGCAGGTGGCATGGAGGCTAAGGTATTGGGAGTCTCACACAGCTGTCTGGTTTGAGTCACGGACTGGCAGCTTGGGTCAAAAAACAAACCCTGAGTATGTTTATGTGTGTCCAGAATCCCAAGGGGAATGTAGCATGGCCATGCTCCCAGGAGATGATTTCTCACTTTTCCTCTCTGTCTGTTGAGTGCACATGTCCTATGTGAAACAAGTCTATTAAAACAAAACAAAACAAAACACCCTTGCCTGAAAAACAGTTTGTTTTATACAACTGGGCTTTGCATGTTCTTGTGACAGCCAGCTGGGTCACCTGAGGTAGGAGTTATTTAATTTTCTGCAATAAATTTGGAGCTTATAGTAAAAATGAGAATTCAGTGTGGCAGTCAGGAGCAAGAAGGGCCCTGGCTCATTTTGTACAAACACGATCATGTGTCCTACACTTTACCAACTCTGTTAAGAGCTTTGGAGGAGTAATTTTGAGTATGTATTTTTAACGTGTGATATCAATGTAATCGGCCGAATAACTAGAAACTACACGGCTTACCTCCATTAAGTTTGTTTGTTTGTTTGTTTGTTTTGGGGGTGGGGGTTGCTATAGGGCGCGTGCACTCGCCAGAAAGAGACAGAGACAGAGAGAGAGAAAGCGAGAAATCATGGCCACACCGCAATCCCTTCTCCATTCACCAGCGGATCTTGGGCACGTGCCCGGCGTCGAGTTTAAACTCAACCGCGGTCGACTACATGGGAGTCCAGCGACATAGCTACTACACTAACTTCTGGTCCCTACCTCCATTAAGTTTTCTATCCCATTAAATGCAACCGTAACCTCCAGTATATACAGATGTGAGGTACAGAGGATTCTTGCCCGAAGTCTGTAACTCTCCGCCTAATTTCGTACTCGTCTGGACCTCCTGCTTGGAGTCCCAAAGACACCTAGAGACGGATACCGTACAAAGGACGGTGAACAGGCTTGACAGTCCAGGGATTGCTCGCTCCCCTTATTTCTCCCTCCTCCAGCGCCTGCCCCCTCCAAAGCCCGCAGTCCGCCCAGGTTCCCCAGGTGCCCTCGCACCCGCGAGGCCGATGGAGCAGGCTGCTGCGCCGAAAGTCCCGTGCACCCGGGTGATCGTGTCCCGTACGAGGACGCACAGCACTCGGTCCTCGAGACTCAGGCGACAGCGAGGGTCGTCAGACACCAGTTCGCAGAGCAGGTACCTGTAGCAGGCGAGAGTTAGGCGGGGTTGAGGAGAGTCGGCAGGGCAGTGCGGGGATCAGAAACGTGAAAAACTCACCTGTGCTTGAACCGCACCATGGCCGCTTCCGCGCGGGCCGAGAGTGCAAGCCGGAAGTCGGTCCCTGCAGCGGCCAATGGAAAGTTTGCTTCCTCAACCTGGCAGGCTAGTGGGAGGAGCTAGGGAGCAGAGAGGCCGAGCTCTGTGTCAGTCTCCCTCAGGCCCCGCCCCCTGAGCGACAAGCGCGCATGCGTCCTGCTGAGACCCGGTCTGACATCAGTAGGTTGGGGCTGGACTCTGAGACTTAGGGGCGTGAACCGCTGTGATGGGTGGTTCTGGTCCACACCTGAGTTTCCAGTATGGTGTGGGATGTCGGCGCTGCATTTGGGGTCCTGGGGACCTTGCCGTACGGTTAGGTATGCAGTTATATCCGCTCCCCAAGCTGGACGGTGGAATTTTTGAGGGCGAGACCCTGCACTGGCATCCCAAGTATTGACCGGAAGTCGGACGCTTACTTTCAGGTTAGAACTCCGTTTAATTCTTCCGTACAGCTAAAAATGCTATTATTGTTTTGGGCCGTTCATAATCTTACGGAGACGGGTGTGTTGTCTCGTTTTTTGTTTGCCAAAAAAAAAAAAAAATCCGTAGTCGTTGTATTTTTTCTATCTTTCCTTCCTTGCTTTTTCCACTTTTGTCAACTAAGTGCATATAATATGCTAAATTCTTAGTTAAAATGTTAACAATGTTGACAGCATTTTCACCAAGAGTAGGAATCTAATCTTTTTTTTTTTTTTTAAGAATTTGACTTTATTTAGTATTATTATTTTTTAATTTGTTATAGGACATATGTGCATACCAGAGAGAGACAGAAAAAGAGACAGAGACAGCAACTGAGAAAGAAAGAGAGACAGAAAAAGAGGAAGAGACAGCAACTGAGAAAGAAAGCCACCAGGTCTGAGACTCGAACTGCCATCAGCCATGTGTGAGTTCAGTGTCTTAACCACCACACCACCTGCTGGCCCCTATGTGTGTGTGTGTGTGTTTTTAAGAATTATTTTATTTAACTTTATTTATTTACTTATTTTTTAAAAAAATTTGACAGAGAGGGACAGAGCATGAGAGATAGAGAGGGAAAGTGGGAAAGCAAAATACCATGTCCAGGACTCGAACCACAGTCAGCCATGTGGGAGTCCAGCACCCTCAACCACCATGCCACCTGCAAGCCCCTGGTCCCTATGATATTAAAAAGCCATTTTACGGGACTAGCAGGTGGCATGGTAGTTAGGGCACTGGACAGTCCCACATGGCCAATCATGGTTCGAGTCCCAGACCTGGTAGCTTGCTTTCTCACTTTTCCTTCCTCCCCCCTCTGTGTTTCGCTCTGGTCAAAATAAAAAAAAAAAAAAAAAAAAAATTTAAAAAAAAAAAGTTATACATGGGGCTGCCATCCTCGGAGCCTTCGGGACCCTCTGCCCCATAGGCACCGCCCAGCTCCCACTCAAACAGACAGAGAGATAGAAAGCAAGAAATCACCCCCTCAGGGGGGATGGCCACTCCGTAATCCCTTCTCCTCTCGGGATCTTGGACACGCACACACACGCACCGGGCATGAGTTTAAGCCACCGGGCCCAGGACATGAACCGCGGTCGACTACATGGGAGTCCAGCGACATAGCCATTACGCTAACTGCTAGTCCCAATAAATAATTCTTTAAAAAAAAAAAGCCACTTTGGGGGCCGGCAGATGGAGTGATGTTTGAGGGTGCTGGATTCCCACACGGTCGACCATGCAGCTTGCTTTCTTACTTTCTCTCTCTCTGTCTCTCATTCCGTCCCTCTCTGGTCCAATTAAATAAATAAATAAATAAAGTTAAAATAATTCTTTTTTTTAAGAAAAAAACAAAACAAAATACTTTATGGGACCAGCAGGTGGTGTAATGGTTACACCATTGGACTTGCATGTTGATCACAGTTTGAGTCCCTAACCCAGCAGCTGTGTGTGTGTGTGTGTGTGTGTGTGTGTATGCATGTGCATGTCCACAATCCCGAGAAGCAAATGGAGGAGAAGGGATTGCAGTGTGGCCATCCCCCTGGGGAATGATTTCTTGCTTTCTGTCTCTCTGTCTTTCCTGCAAGCACATACGCCATATAGCAAAAATCTCTCCAAAAGAAAAGAAAAAAAAATACTGTTTGCTCATCCGTAAGAAGCAATTCCTCATGCTTTACAGTTTTATTATGAGATTACAGCAGTTCAGTCACATGTTCAGGCTCCACTTCTAGTTCTCTTGTTATTTCCACCACGTATGCAATTTGTTCCTTCACTGAAGTCTTGAATCCCTCCACACCCTCTATGAGGGTTGGAATTAGCTTCTTCCAGACTCTTGTGTTACTAGTTTGACCTCTCTTGAATTACGAATGTTTATTATAAGAATTATCTTATTTAACTTTATTTATTTATTTTAATTTAACCAGAGAGGGAAAGTGATAAAGCAGGCCACCAGGTCTGGGAGTCGAACCAGGGTCAGCCATGTGGGAGTCCAGCGCCCTTAACCAGCACACCACCTAATCATGAATGTTTTTAAAGGTGTCTAGAATGGCGTATACTCTTTAGAGGAATCACTATCTCTGTCAGTTATAGTCTAAAATGTGCATTTCATTTTTTTAAAGAATTACTTATTTAATTTTATTTATTATGATTGTGTTTTATTTTACCAGAGCAAGAGAGAGAGGGGTGGTGGAAAAGTGAGAAAGCAAGCCATTAGGTCCAGGTTGCAAACCATGGTTGGCTATGTGGGACTCCAGTGCCTTAACCAGCAAGCCACCTGCTGGCCCCTGTGTTTCATTTTTTTAAATATTCTTTTTTTTTTTTCCTTTAAAATTTGCCTGAGGGTGCATGCACTCACAGGAGGGAGACAGAAAGAAATAGAAAGTGAAAAAGCACTCTCCATAGGGTCTGGTCACACCACAATACTTTCTTCTCCATCTCTCCCTCCTTTCAAGATTTTGGGCACACATGCGTATGTATCTGGTATGTTTTTCAAGCCACCAGGTCCACCCTCAACTATGTGGGATCTAGCTACCTTTACTACCCATGCCACAGGCATTTTTTTCTTTTTTTTTTTGGAGAGGTTTTTGCTATAGGGCGTGTGCGCTCGCCAGACAGCAGAGAGAGACAGCGAGACAGAGAGACAGAAAGCGAGAAATCACCTCCCAGGGGCCACGCCTCACTGCCTTCTCCTCCATTCTCCTCTCAGGATCTTGGGCACGCACGCACACGCACCGGGCATGAGTTTAAGCCACCGGGCCCAGGACATGAACCGCGGTCAACCACAAGGGAGTCCAGCGACATAGCCATTACGCTAACTGCTGGTCCCCACCGCAGGCATTTTTTAAGTGTAATTTTTTTTTGTAGTCAATGTACAATTTATATCATTTTATTCAATACAACAATCTCTGTGGGTTTTTTTATGTTTATTAATTTCATGAGTGAGAATGACAGACAGAGATACAGCACCTCTGGCAGTCTTGATGCGATGACCCATCCTTACACTTCAGCCAGCACACATATGCCAGGGTATTCAAGAAGGTCTCTAACCTCCGCTGGGCAACCTTCTCACATGGATCAGCTTTGCAGGGCATCACGTTTCACTCTGTGCTACCATCCAGCCCCCAAAATGTGTTTCTTTTCTCAGCAGTGAGGATTGCTGCACCATGGAGCTCATCCTCAAGTCTTATTATTTTTTAATTTAATTTTATTTTTTTCAGTTATTTATTTTAATTTGATCAGATAGGGAGAGAGAGAGAGAGAGAGAGAAAGCAAGTCACTAGGTCTGGGACTCGAACTGTGGTCAACCATGTGGGAGTCCAGTGCCCTTAACCACCATGCCACCTGCTGGCCCCTATTTTATTTTATTTTTTTTAGAGAGATTTCTGCTATAAGGCATGTGTGCTTGCTGAAGAGACAGAGACAGAGAGACAGAAAATGAGAAATCACCCCGCAGGGGGAATGGCTATGCCACAATCCCTCTTTCTCCACTTTCTTCCCTACCAGGGTCCCAGGCACACATGCACACAGGCCCGGCGTGAGTTCCAAGCTGCTGGGTCTGGGACTTGAACCACAGTTGGACATGTGGGAGTCCAGCAATTCAACCAGTATATCATCTACTGGTACCTCAAGTCTTATTATTTAAGAAATACATTTTGGGGGCCAGCAGGTGGCATGGTGGTTGAGGGTCCGGACTCCCACATGGCTCATTGTGGTTCAAGTCCCGGACCTGGTGGCTTGCTTTCTCACTTTCCCTCTCTGTCTCTCTTTGGTGAGCGCACATGTCCTATAGCAAACTTAAAAAGTAATATAATAAAATATTGGGTCATTGGTTTTGTATAGAAAAACATGTCATGACTTTTCAATGACCCAATACAAATTTTAAATAATTCTAAAAAAAAAAAAAAAAACATTTCAGGGTGCTGGCTTCTGTGTGCAAGTGTCCAAGATCCAATGGGTTGGAGGACTGGAAAAAGTGGATCACAGCATGATCAGACTCTATGGGAGGATGCTTCTCTCTCTCCCCCTTGTGTGTGTGCTCATACTCATGAATAAAAAGGAAAAATAACTCAAAAGTCAGAATTACTCCTTAATCCATGGGCTGCAGATGGTTATAGTTTTAGCAGGCCTGAAAATGGCATGTATCTCCTTGTATATTTCTATCAGAGCTCTTAGATAATCAGGTGATGTGAATAGGCAGTATTATTATTTTTTTCTTAAAGTATTATTTAATTTTATTATCTTAAAATTTGACGACAGAAAGAGAGAAAGAGAGGGAAAGTGAGAAATCACTCCTCAAGGGGAATGGCCACACCTCAATCTCTTCTCCATTCTCCCCTCAGGATTTTGGGCATGCACATGGGCCCAATGTGATTTTCTATTTTTTTTTTTTAGAGGTTTTTGCTATTGGGTGTGTGCGCTTGCCAAGAAGACAGAGACAGAGAGACAGAAAGCAAGAAATCACACCCCAGGGGGGATGGCCATGGTGCAATCCTTTCTCTTCCATTCTCAGGATCTTGGGCACGCACACACGTGCACCTGGTGTGAGTTTAAGCCGCTGCGTCCGGGATGTGCACTGTA